CGCTCCGCCTCTTATCACTGAACAACGGCGAGCCTCTTCCAACTTCCATCGCCGCCGCCGCCGCCGCCGCAGCCGCTTTTTTCTCTTTCCTCGCTGCACATCCTTCTGCCTTGGGACGCGGTGCATTGTCCCACGTTGAAGTGCACTCCGCTCACAGCTGCAACGTCGTTCTTGCACGACTTGTCGGTCGGAGAGAACGACGGACTTTGCCGCGCCGTTCGGCAAATTGGCGAGTCCGGCGTATTTCAGCCGACTCTTCACTCCAGACGATTCTCAACGGGGTCCCGTTAAAGCGAGTGCGCGAGATAATCTAACGGGTCAACGTTTATTTATGCGTAATTGCATACATAATTTATTTACACTTTTCTTTCGGCATTGTGTCCCTATATACAACGGTTGGATCGTTTTAAGGAAATTTTAATATCGAATTTCTCTTAACGGTTTTAAGCTCCTCTCTTAGGAGCGATGCTGCGGCGCGAAATTGGCAAGTTTTAATTACCCCCGCGACCGTACTTAGGGGTTAATCGGCCCTGGGAACACCAGCCAGCGGCTTTATAGTCTTTGGGAAGTTTGGTCCGCCCGCGGACATGAAACGTGGCGCGGCGTTTCCAATTACGCGTCTCGGCGTCGGCGTGTACGATGGTCGACGCCGACAGTGCACGCGCGTACAAACCTCCTCTCCCGTTGATCCGTTCAGAGTTTCGCACAAGCCCGCCGGTCGTTAACCTTACGCGAAAATGGATAAGACGCTTCGGTTCTGGCAACGTTGCACCGTACCCATAGATATTCGTCGTCGTACCCATATATACCAGAGCATATACATATAAATGCCATTAAAAGCTGCTGCGGGACGTTCTAGATGTATTTTCTGCCAAGTACAGAAACTGGAGGAAACTGGCGGTCCTTTATGATGCATGTTCCGAATACAATAGTAACAATAGTAACTCGTGCGAGTTCAAAAGGGATATTTGCTATCGAGCTGGGTAAACGATATAATAACACGTTAATAACCAATAAACATGGTACGGCGTCGTTTAAACTTTAGCGATGATATACGCGAGAGATGCGTTACACCAACCGCACCTATCACCTTCTAAGCTTCGACATATGACGAAGCGTGTATAATAAGATAACCGGCCTTGTAACGAGATTATCACTGTGTGTGCGACGCGCTACTGGCTCTTCTAAGGTATAGCTCGATAGCGACAAGAAACAATTATCTTTTAAACGCGCACGATCATCGCGACGGTTAGGCTAACGGTAAAAGATGCATTCTATTACTAGCCAACCAGTGGAAAATAACGCCGCTATATCGGTTACAAGTTACAACTTGCTCCAGTTTAAAATGGTTATTAAAGATCTCCTTGTTGCTCACGAGATGTGATAGATAAGGTTATAGGTACATGATAAAACGCGACAATTGTCAATTATTACGTTCGTTCTAGATTAATTTTTGATATACAGTCATATAATCTATGATCGCGCTAAGGTTAATATTACTTGGTTTTTGTGTTGTAATTTATTTTGCAATTATAGTTATTAAGTGATTTGCGATAATTCTTGAGCTAGCACGCGGTATCAATAGTTTCAAATGAGAAACGGTAATTTACAAAAAATTACTTAAATGTCGACAGTATAACCCGCGTATCTTGAATTACGATGAATTATATTAAAAGTGAGGTAATAAACGAACAATCTCATATGCCGGTATTCATAGTCAGTTTTTATATTTGATATTACGTGTGTCCTGAGTAGGACAGTTTTAAGAGATATCACAGGTCAGTATTCGTAGCCCGTTCTTATTTCAAGATCGTCTTACGTTAAAATGTTGATACAGTTTACTGATTGGTTCATGACACTTCTTAAGACTGCACTTAGGACAGTCTTAAATATCAAGATCGACTATAAATATCAGCCACAGCCCACATCGTCTTGAAACATTACGGTCTTATAATAAGAACAGACTATGAATATTGGTCATGACGTCACATACTGTTGATCAAATAAATATAAAACTGTTCGGAAAAGATTTATTCCGTGAAACACCACGTCAAAATCGCGCGCAATCAAAGTCGTATATACGGTACAAAATTTTTCACTCACATTGCGACACGTCGCATGACGTCGCATCGTGCGATAAAACTTCCCACCACGTTCTTCTTCCATGTCAAATCATTTTCGTTTAAATATTTTAAGTAAAAAAGATCTGGTTTTAAAATGCTCTTACGCACTTCTGACGTGAGAATTTTTCGAAATCGACGTTCGAAACGCGCCTCTTAGGCTTTCAACTGATTTTTGTTCTTAATGCCAACGTGCTCGCGTTAAAGCCGACGCTTTCGAAAGTTCGCGGTCGCAGTTCTCTTTTTACTACCGGCATAAATGACTTCATTCGCGTGACTCATCGTCTCGTGTCTAGTGTACGGAGTATACCATATGTACACTATATAGCTGCACGCTGCACGACGATCATTGGTAAACCACACGACGTGGTGGACTAGGCGATTTCGCGAGTTCTTCAAGCACGACCAATCGACGGTGTCGCTTTCCAAGCATTCGGATGCTCGACTTGAATGAACCCTGCAGACCTTACTCCGACTTACTAGTTCAGATTTGACAATTTTAATTTGCGTCGATTGCACAAGAACCACTTTACGAGCGTATATTTTTACATTACCATTCGAGGGACAGAGCGACAGGCTCGACAAGTTTCTAAAATTCAACAGGTTATTTGTCAATAACCAGCATAAATAAATGTAGCCGCCTGGCGTCACATGTCTAATAAAAAATAATATTTCTACCTGTGCTATCTAATATTTGCATGTTTTTATTCGTTTTAAAACGTCTGATGAAATTCGACTGAATTGATACGTCATCGAGAGAGAACGTATCAATTTTTTTTTCCTCTCAAACAGATGATATTTCGCAACTGATCGAATCATTCACCATATCACGAGAGACATTTATTCGTCAGAGTGTAATAGCGCGCGCGCGTCACTTTACGATGAGTAATAGCGTAACGCAATTCTATAACTTGACTTCACTGCGAGCAAGGTTTGCGATAACTGCGTATACGACTACATACACGAGTAATATTTTTTTTTCTCTTTATGAATATCAAGTGATTCGTTGAATTGCAGTTTCATTTCTTCTTCGAGAGACAACGTTCTCCGATTGTTCTATCTTAACGTCTATCACGCAGTCGACGTTGCTTGCAATTACGTGGTCATTGACAGCGCGTATAATTACGTCACTAGAGACAGAAAGGCTTCGAACGTATATCTAAAAGGTGAGGCGGTTTCTAGTGTGAGAAATTCGTATTCCTGAATAAGGAGTTTACGTAACTCGAAGCGGTAAGGCGGTAAAACAAACGGCGGCGCGCCAGTGTTTTACACAAATTCGTTTCGTGAATCTAGCACGGGAGAAAGTGTTGCCTCTGCTGACCGTTTCATTAGCATTGTACATGTGAGACGACACGTCAGACTGTAATGACTGTGTGTTCCCAGCTTGCGCCAAGAAACGAATACTCGCGGCTGCACGATCTACCTTTGTGGTTCGATATTAAGAAGGGATACATACTTTTGATCGATGTCGGTAATACTTTTTTCATTTCAAATTTTTCATACAAATGTCAATAATAGAGCAATATCTCCGTCTTAAACGCATACATTTATCCTTATCTAACATATTGCAGCGCCATCTCTTGCAAAATCCTATTACTATATTATACTTTTTCATGTTTGTTTCCACCAATGTAGTTTAAGTTTAATTTCAGTTCAACTAACTTTTCTCCTTTATCTTTCTCGAAGAATTAGAAAAGGATGAAGAGTAAGTTGAACCGAGATTAAAGTTAATCTATACATTGATAGAAACAGGCATTGGTCTTCGCTAAGCGTACTTTACACGTAATTTGCAGTTGTAAATCTTTTTTTCAAGCTTTCAATCTTAATTTGGTATATACCGCGTCATTAATTTGTCTATACCAGCTAGAACTTTTGTATTAAGGAAATGTCTACGTGTGAAAAGGTGTGATAGCTCTACGAATTAAAAAATGTAAGTTTTTAACGTTTTTTTCGATTTTCATTTAAAGTCCACCTTTTAATTTTGCGTCCATTTCAATCCTGTAAAAGGATTTTTGATTCCGTTCAGTCAATTCGGAGATTTCAATCAGTTTGTAATATGCCAATAATTTCGTCATTCAAGCATCCCCTCAGAAAGAAAAGAATATGTATTTCTAATGTCGATGGAGAGACTCGACATGTCACTGATAAGTGATCCTGCTATAGGGTTAAGGCCAAATCCGCGATGAAGGCTAATATCGTAGATATCTACGACGACCGATCTCGATCTCCAAAGCATTGCGAAATATCGTCGTGCAATCTTGATAACGGATCGAAATCGATCGGTCGACATTTGAATTTCCACGGTTGCACGATAATATAAAATGCTGCATCGGCCTTTGCTCGACTTTCACCAGCTCTCGGAGGCGAACGATTTTTCTTCAACGACTGCTGCTACTGGTTGACAAAGTCGAGTTTAAGGAAATGTCATGGCTGCGCAAATCTTGACCGACTTGATATCTCACACGGTCGCGTGTTACGTCAGCGTAGACATACATTTAACAAAGATATCAAATCACGACGCAAAAGCTTTTACGAGTCGCAGTTTTTGCCCTCATCGAGGTAATGAATTTTGTTGCGTGCCACAATTTCTTATTCTAGAAATTTAAGTATTTCTAGATTTTTCTTAGATAGACAAATTTTGCTACTATTTCCGTATACGATATCATAAATTTTAGAAATCCAATGGACATTTCAAATTTCTTCTATTTATCGTTATTGTTCCTTATATTCTCTTTCAAAACATTCAATCAGTCATATTATTTATTACAATCGATGATGAATATTCCAAAAGAATATTGTTGCCAAAAAGAATTTGCCAAAATTTTCATAAAATTTGAAATTTACATAAAATTGAGTAAACATTTCTTTGTCTGCTTACAGATATGACGATACTTTGATGAGAAACGTCGAGGCATTACATTTGACATCTACCATGTTTTTCTTGGAAACGACATCTGCTTCCGCCGGAGATGCGAGAGAAGAATCATCGTTCGATTCCGAGACGAGTTTATCCCTTACGGCTCTCACCGTAGAAGATGCGATTTATAAAGGAGAAGGAAACGCCAATATCGTTGTCGCCCTACCACACGTAAGTTAATTATATATTTTTCTTATTTTATGTATTGCGTCTCGGATATACTATTAATTAGATATTAAGCAATGAAACTCAATCCCTTGAGTTAAATAACATTATATTACTTTAACTTTATGTATATAAAAAAATGTAAATCAATTCATCTCTGTGCTTATCTTTAGTACATAATATTCATATTAACATGTGCACTTTATTATACGTTATAAAATTTTTTTAATTGGAAATTAATTGGAAATTGTATAAATTTACATGCAAGAAATGTTATTATAGATATGAAGAACCACCTTTACCGAATATTTTTCACTCGTGTGTATTATATATGTGTGCCCAATCCTTTTTTGACTCCATTTTTTAACTACCGTCGTCCGCAATTTTGATTCTCTTTTCAAAGTCATCATTGATTCGCGATTCAGCTTCTTTCGTTCATTTCGTGCGAGGCGTTCAATTTTGCAACTATCGCGAATGTGTCTTTCAACAACACAAGTAAAATGTTGTAGATTACGTTTGATGCACGATTGAGAGCGCGATATTTTACTTTCACACACAATATGTATATGTATATGTATAAAGATGTGTTACGTACTTCTAATGGATTAATTTTCTTAGGAAGCTTTACAAGTGCGTAAGTATAGTATCGAAGAGAAAAATGGAGAAGCCCGTTTTACAACGTTTAATATCTGCAACTGCTAGAAGTGCTGTTTATAGCGAATAACGAATTGCATATAAATGCAATACAATTAAGATGCAAATGCGCAAAAAACATGCGAATAACTATCTATTCGTCGGCAACGCAATAAATGCCACTGGCAGATGAAAATATAATAGGTAGGAAGGCGTTTTGAGTCACTCCCACGATAATCGATTGTACGAGTTGTCTCGTCAACAGATAAGAACACGCGTAATTTCTTTTTGCGTAGTTTTCGTACAAAAGTCTCAACGAGTTATCATCGCGCGATGATAATTTCGCATGAACAGTCTCGAATACAGAAAAACACGATAGTTGTTAACACGTTTGTTGTTAATAATGTAAAAATGTGTTAATATCGTAAAAAAAAAGATGAGATTCTCGTGTTCACATTGTTATGTCATTCCGCATCACATACATTTCTGACGAGAAAAATCTATTTAATACTGCAAAAAGTCTATCATAGGCAATGGAAAAACACACGGAAAGATTTTGCTGAAATATTGAAAAATTCGATGGGATCTGAAAATAACTTTGTTAGACCGCATTATATTAATAATTATGAGGAAATCTCAAGCATGCTGAACAATGCTGCAAAAACAGTTTGAGTATTCACACAATCAATTTTAGCGTTCAACACATAATTATTTTAATGTTCCAACAAAATTATTTTCAAATATGCATCTAGCTAAATTTTTATAAATATTTCTAGTATTTCAATAAAACTGCCCTTTCTGCCCACATGGAACATTCTGTATGTAAAACACTACCTTAAATTCTATACATGATACACTTCTCTGACTCACTCTATAATTAACAAATAATTAATAACTGCGCGACCAATCGAGAATTGTGTTTTAATAATGCAGATGCGACAATTGTATCTCTCTTCGTGGTAGGAAGGGGACGCCCGTTGGGCCGATCGCACACACGTGGATGTAGTCATATATTTTTTTAGGAAGCGGACAAACAATCATAAGCATCAATAATTTCGTTGAATTGCCCAGGGCTGTTCATTAATGCAGAGCGCGTTATCGTCGTTATCGTCGTAGGAAAAATGATGAATTTTTTTACTTTGCGCGTCTTCTCAGGTGCGCAATTTCGAGAGATACGGTCGGATACGGTCGGATCGCGATACGCCGGCGCGCCCGTCGTTCCTATCCGATGCGTCGTGGACTTTATCTCGAATCGATAATAATCACAAGCGTGTATGTGTGCAGCTTGTATGACCTGGATTGAATTATCATAATTGTTATAATTATGTCGCGACGAATTGGGTACGGTATCTCAAAAAATTGTAATTACTATATCAAAAAGGTCGCGAGACTGTATCGGGGATGTTTTGTGTAATCACGGATAGATTACAATATAATCCGTTCAAGTTGAATATTATATATATTTTATTATTTTTAGTTTCCATATATGTCAACATGTAAATTAATCCATTTCTGTAATTAGTTTCAAAGTAAACAACGTCCATATTAACTAAGTGAATAATAAATTAGGTTTGAGTCAAATTCTTTTAAAATCTGTACGGAATGAAAGAATGATTTTACTCAAGCATCTAAAAATTTAGCTAGATACGGATCTGAAAATAATTGTGTTGGCCTATCCAAAAAAATAATTATGTAGAACACTCTTAACTAGTTGGTAAAATATCAAATTACTAAAATATCTGTTTGCAGCGTAATTAGTTTGATCGTCCAAAATTATTTTTAGATGCTTTAGCAAAATGATCCTTTCCGTGTGAATATTTATTGTATATCGTGAATCTTCGCTACCAGAAATCAATCCAAATATTGCAAAGCAGGAAATGGAACGCTTTATTACCACTTGGATGGACGGATTCAATGGATGCTTATACAATATCGATAGTGTGTGTTCCGATGAAGTTTCTAATACGTGATTTCTCCTGTCGCACGCGAACGATATTCCAGCTGGTGTCACGCGGTCGACGCGTACATCGATGACAGCGATGCATGCACACGTACTACACATTTAAACATTTAAACAATGTAACTCCGGATCTCCGTTTCACATCGTTGGCGAGTTTGTCGAACTTGCAAACGGTCAGATGCGTCGTGGCTGCTGACAGTGCGGATAAAAGAGAGTGGATCAGAGCTGTCCTTTCGGATATTTGTCAATACCTAACCTTTCTAAAGTATCGACAATTTACAATATTCGCAATATCGAGAATTACGCTGTGTTAAAAATTTCACAGTCTGAAATTCAGTTGTTCACTGAATAAACATTAAATAAGCGTAAGCATCGCTAATCGCAAATTTGTCTGGTTTGTGGTGGTAAGATGTATCTCGACTTGTTCTTCTCCTTCCTCTTCCCTTCCTCTTCTTTCTCTTCTCTCGTTCGTTTTCTTTCCTCTCTTTCGTCACGTATTTCCTCTTCACGTAGCGACCTTAACCCGTGCGTTGAGTCATCCCCGCCGTGGTGGCTTTATAATTTTATTACGTGACTCGGCTGCATTGACTCGAAGAAGGGACTATATCGGTTGCGAAGGGAGGACGAGCGTCGAATGGAAAAACTTTGAACGTCGCTGCGGAGCTTCGAGACTCCGATACATATTCCGATACCGTTTATAAAAGTGCAACGCACGTTTTTTCATTTCCCTTCAATTCCCGAAGACTCGAAGACTATATATGTCGATATGTCTATGTCAATGGTCTCTGTCCATATAGCTACACTTAATCACCGAGAGATATCCTTAGGATGTTTAGAGGACATAGGAATTACGAGTCGTTTTAGGTCGTCTCTTGGAAGTGACGGGTCTATGGGTCGGTTCTCGCGATTCTCAGAGAGCAAGAAGAGCTCTTAAGACTGATATGTATTATGTTCCGTCATCCTGAGGGTCGCTCGAGCGTAGGTATTGGTAGTTGGTACCGGGCAGAGAGTAAATGAAATCGTTAACCACGACAGCAACTGCGCAAGAGCGCGAAACGTCGTTATACTGTTGATATATCCAGGAACGTTTCGTTATCTTTCCGCGTGCGCCGTGTTTATCGACACCGACAGCTTTACGACGGCTTTAACGAGTCCGCGCCGCGTTTGAATTGTTCTCTCCCGACTCGTTCTTCTTCCAACCCAACCTAGCACAATGTTAGTAACCTGGTGATTTCCTGGCGATAGCGTTCTGCTCGATAACACGTCCTATACGTGCCACACGTACAACCAGTTTTCTCGCAGTAATGGCGAAGGATCCCTCCCTTAGCGTATCTCTCTCGTTGAACTACATGTGCGAAAATACTTGACGCGCAAAGCGCGAATGTGTATAATTGAAATTTAGACGAGAGAGAGAGAGAGCCTAGGCTTTATCTCTCGATGCAGTACCCTCGACAAGGGTATTACGTACGAAGGCTCATTCATCAGCGCGACTCTTCGTTCTGTATATCGCGAGTTTCGAAAACTTTACGATCACGCGATGTATACGCGACTTCGATCCAACGTGATCGTCCTCTCGCACGATACCATCGTCGTTCGTTGAATCGCAATCTCGATTATCTTAGATTCTTCGTGATCACAGAGATTACGCTATTTTCCAAGTACATGCCGATAGCGATGTATCATTGGCGGTTATATGCACGGCACAATCATACATACATATATATATATTCCTGGTTTGCTAGCGTGGACCTTGACGTTGCTATAATCGGTATTTGTTTCGCGAAACGCTCTTTTCTGTTCACACAATCGCGTACGCAATCGTCGTGCCTTCGTAACGTAGTCTCTAATCAGCCAGAAATTGCAGTCCGGCTGCGTGCATACGGCTGTTATCGTCGCACCATTAGCAACATAGAATCAAACTAATGGAAGGATTATTCCATTCGAGTTTTATTCCGTTATTAGACAACTTCTGATTGATCCGTCATATTTTTCAGGACCTGTTTAAGGCAGAAGATGAGATTTTACTCGAGGATCTCTAAGGGCCCAGTTTCCCCACAACTCACGGTTAACTCTTAACCGAGGTTCTACTTGAATTCTCTTTCCACACAATTCTAGAATTGGACAAATTGACCTTTGATTAAGAGTTATGGAACTGGGCCTAAATAACGACAGCGAAGGTTCAGTTATTTGATATTCAAGTGTTGCGATGCGATCGATATGCGTATCGATCGAATGTAAAATTCCACTGGCGAATCTTATTCTTCCCGTTCGTTCGTAATAACGTTCAACTCATCGTTCAACCCATTTCCCGCGCCTCACTCTTCAAGGTGCGGATAATTGCGCGCGGCCTATCTCTGCCTAATCAGTCATAGATCGCGGCCTGATGCGCGTGCACACGGCTCCGCACCAGCGA